GGAGACCTGCAAGTAGATGGTGCATCGGATCTTTACAATGGCCGGTGGGGTCCAACTGAGTCTGCGCGAGCATATGCGGAGTCACCTCTCGCCATGTTCTACTACTTCATGCCGAAGTTGATGTGGACCAAAATTGCTGAGGAATCCAATCGATATCGTGCGAGTGTGGTAGACGAAGTCGCTATCCAAAAGCAACGCCGTCAGCAACAGTGGCAACTTACGCACCCAGATAGTCGAGTCCAGTCGTTATCAGATATCAAAGATACTTTGAGCAAGGTGAAACCCTTTCAAGCTCACGAGATAGTTCATTACATTGCACTGCTTATAGCTCGTGCTCTGTGCGCCCACCGACGTTCTCTAGGAGATCACTGGTCGACGTCTGAGAATGGAGCAATTCCACGAGGCACGTTCGGCAAATTCATGACTCGCAAGCGCTTTGAGGAGATCACGCGCTATCTACACTTCAATGACAATGCGAACAACCGGCGCAAGAAAGACAAAGCTTGGAAATTGCGTCCTGTCCTCCAGATGATTGAGAAGACCTTTCGAAACGGATACCGAATGGGTTCCACGCTTTCCTTCGATGAAGGGATAATTGGCAGCAGGCATCAATACAACCCCATGCGAATTTACATGAAGGACAAACCAACGAAGTGGGGGACCAAGTTTTACATGGTCTGCTGTTCTGATACAGCATACTGTTCTCGGTAAGTCGTCTTATGATGTAGCATACAGCATAGCGCGGATGGTATCTAATTCTGTATGTTTATGCTGTATGATACAGTATAGAGATCTATCGGGGGAAAGAAGACACCGACTCAGCTATTTCGAAAGCGGTGATCCGCAACTTGACCAAAGCGTTGCGAGGGCAGCCTGGAAAGCGCCTAGTCGTCACCGACAACTACTACACCTGCGTTCAGCTAGCCGAACACCTTCTGAGAATGGGAATCTACACAGTAGGCACAACACGCGTCAATCGGAAAGGCTGGAGCGAGCGGATCCAGTTCTCCAGTAAAAAAAAAGCAAAAGCAGTTGCAACCTCAGCAACCTGCGAACAAAATTGAGCGCGGAGCGTACCGTGTCGCGTATAATCCACGGATCCCAGGGTTGGTCGCCGCTAGCTGGAAGGATTCAAAGATCGTCAACTTCATGGCAACGGGATGCAGCACGAGACGGGTTGTTGTTCAACGAAAGCGTAAGGGGGATGGCGTCTCTCTTGAAGTTACGTGCCCCGAGCTGGTTCGTATCTACAACAAAGGCATGGGAGGAGTAGACCAACACGACCAGCTGCGACTTCACCGCTATTCTATTCAGAAAGCACTGCGCCATCGATCCTACTACAAAAACCTGTTTTTCGGTATCGTTGACATGGCATTAGTCAATGGGTTCATTATCCACAAGTTAGTGATGAAAGAGCAAGGCAAACCTGTTCCCACCCATGCTGACTATTTGGCGCGGCTACACATGGAGCTGCTTGCGCAGCAAAATGTAGACTTTCAAGGCAACATGCACGCCCAAAACTTGCTTTCGACCCCACTGGCAGGACAACCGCACGTGTTGACAAAAACTGCGGAAACCTACAAGAACAAAGTCCGTCAGTATTTATGCAAAGTATGTTCGGCCTATTCCGACAAGGAACATCGCAGCTTCGAGACGCCGTACTCTTGTGAAGAATGCTCGCTTACCTTTGGGGGTCGTGTGGCTCTCTGCAACAAGGTTCGCAGAGAGGAGCGAGGCAACACTGACACGTGTCATCAGACATGGCATATCACTTGGAAGAATGGCACCATCATCCCGCCGGACATGAGAAAGAAAATTAGATTCAGGAAAAGAAAGCTGCAGGAAGTAGATGACGAGTAGCTCACCTCTGATCTAATGTGGAGGAAACTTTGCCCATTTGTTGTTTACACAAGTCTTTGCTTGACAAATGGGCAAAAGTTTCCTCCGCGGAAAGCGCGGGCTAGCTGCAGCGCTCTCCACGCCACCAGTTTTGGCGCGAACCGCCACGACGACTTCCGTACATCGAGTATGAAAGGGTAATGAGTGCTACAGACATTTTTATCGATTTTGCACAAAATGTATCCATCAATCTAGCCAATTAGGACTCTTGCATTCACTGGCAGCATCATAAATTGTACTAGAATCCGGCTCGATTGCTGGAAGGGGGCTACAAACAGATAAATTTCACACAGGTACGCCGTCATACTATAGGAAAGGTTATTCCTTTTGCTGTATAATACAGCATAAACACAGGGGCTAGAAGGGTTAATGCTGATTTCTCTTTCGCTTCTACTCAGCAT